CGTCTAGGTCAATTTCACATTGAACATAATCTTAGTTTGGACGCTGCTATATATATCCCCCTGGAAAAAAATAGTTAGACTCGGCATTTCGAATATATTTCCACTATAAGACCACACTTTTTTAAAAGTAATTACATATTCTGAAAGCCCGTGGAGTTTTCTATCACTCTGTATAATTAGGTTTTAGTTTCGACCTATTCATTATCAAAATAAATTGAGAACAATGAAAGCACCCTCGTGTCCAGATTCCCCACAGACAGGATTTTGTATCCTCAACTAGTTTTTTAAACTTTTCGACTATAGAAANGTGATGATATGTAAAAACACTATGAAACGTTAATGATTCTAGTAAGAGTCAGAGAAGTTGTGTCGATACACAAAAGCAGACAAATGTCATGCAAAAATAGTGTCTTGGTAAAACATACCTTTGCTCGTTGTATCAATGAAAAATCTTGACCACCAACGATCTGATTAATGTGCAATGTGATGATGTTGTTCTATGATTCTGAAGACAGGATTATGATGCATATTTATATAGACGGCTAATGCGTTGGCTCTTTTGCACTTTTATTCGAGCGCATTAATTATGATCCTAACATAACACAATCATTCTTTACCTTATTGTAATCATTTTATTATTGCTTTCTTTTGTCTCCCCCATTGTAAGCAATGCTTAAACGACAACAATAACCAATCATTACGATGGTTGGAAAAATGTGCGCTACAACACGGCTTTATATGTTTTTTTTTGTAAACAACACGTACCCTATCGAACACAAAATAACGTTTCAATAACAGTAGCTTTCCGTTAGTTAGCATTATTCTGATGGAACCAAAAAACCTCAAATAAGCCATTAACAACTCAATATGAGAAATCGTTTTGTAGGAGACTACTCTTTTCTATTTGGATATGTATTCAAGTGGAGCTTTCAGCCACACTACGAATACAAGACACGACTTCAATCGTAGTCCTAGATCCTTCACCATGCTAACACCACTCAGAATCTTTGTATTATTCAGGGATAGGGCTTAAGCGCAGATCCCATAGCCTGTAACAGGCTTTGTTCTTATTTCGATCACGGTGTAAACCTGCTCCAAACCTTAAACACCGATCCTGCTGCCAATAGCAGTTCACATCCCACTTCTGAGCTCCGAATCAATACCGGACACACTTTTATTCACAGCGCTAGAGCCACTAGAGTCTCTTCTACTAATTAGTTTCAAACACGACGAGAGTAGCGAACATGGTTCAGTCTCGACCTCGCAGCCACTACTGGTTTTCCTATTGTCATCGTTCTCTGCATCAATCTTGGAAACCGCTTTACTCTTAGCTCCAGAGATACTGCGAACTCTCGTCCTGGTATGAATCTCGGTATAAGAATGGGACGCCGGTTCAATCCCTTTTCTACAGCCACTACTGGTTTTTGGTCTGGGCCCAATCTCGGTATCAATGCGGAACACGGCTTCACTCTTCAGTCTATCATTACTATTTGCTTTCGTTCTGGCTTTAATCTAGGTATCAATATGGGACACCGTTTTAATTTCTGCTCTACAGCCACTAGTGGCTTTTGTTGTGACCTCGATCGGGTATCAATATGGTGCAGGACTTTCGTCTCAGCTCCAGAGTCTCCACTAGCTCTTTCCCTAGTCTGGGTCTTAGTGTCAATGCGAAACATGGTTTCAATATTTGCTCTCCAACTAGTACTGACATTGGTCCTCGTCCCAATCTCGACTATACAGCCAGTAATGGCTTTCGTCCATGTTCCGCTCTCAATAGCAGTGGGGACACGACTTCAGTCTCAGTGATATAGCCATTACTAGCTTTTCCATTAGTTCCGATTCGGATGTCAATGTGGGACACTACTTGAATCCAGCTCGTAGAGTTACCACGAACTGTGATCTAGATTCTGATGTTGATATAAAAAAGGGACACGGCTTCGGGTCTGGTCCCAGACACCTAATTAGTTCTCATCCTGCTCCTGATCTCGGTGTCAATACGGAACACATCTTCTCTGAAGACTATATAGTCATTACTAGGTCTTGTCACGACTTCGGTCACGGTATCAGCGACGGACATAACTTCAGTGCCACTTTTAAAATCAAGAGCAGTTCTCGTCCCGATTACGATCTCAGTACGAATTCGGGATATAGCTTCACTTCCGACTCATGACCCATCACCAGTTCTCGTCCCACTACTGTCCTCATTCCAGTCCCAATATGTAGCTTGAGTCATGGACGGAGAGCCACTGTCAATACTCGTTCCGTGTCCGATCTGACAACGATTCGGAACAGTGCTGGATTCCGAACGGTATAGTCTTTATCAGTTTTCCACCTGATTCCAATCGAGTGCTGCTCTCAGTTTGTGCTTGGCTTCAATATCGATCTGATTCGCAAGCATGTCACCGTGAATTCCATTAAGTACACGTCCGAGTTTGACAGCCACATTCATGTAGAATATCTTTTTGCCCCTCATAGCAATATCCCAGTATGGACAAATTCACCATTATTGATATTCCGTCTGTATCAATGACTCCATGGATTTACATTTATTGCGCTACTTATAGGAATATCGCATTATCGTTGACAAGGTCACTTGAAACTTTATATTTCGTAACAGAAATCTTAACTGTAGAAAACGACTATATATGGAGAATTTGGAAGCTGATTTCAAATCAAGTTTCGGACTTCAAGCATGCGACAAATCTCTGTTGATGTGAGAGTCATGGAAGCACAAACAGGCCATATCTCTGTCCGTCTAGGTACAGATTGTGGGTATGAGTACGAGAAATGCGCATAGCCTCACACTGAAATTAGTCACATCAACTCCACACTCTTAGCTTTACCTTCACCTATCCAGACACTCACACAATTGCTAACTAGTGAGTTCTACGTTTGTGCTTATCGTTGTCTATATGTCTACCTCACGCAATATGGCTTAATATAATTGAGCTTTTACTGAGGACGATGAGCGTTAAAATAGATCTACAAATATAAATGTTCACTTCCAGGATCGTAAATAATATATGCTAGACTATAAATGTAGAAAAAATGGTCAAAAATGCAGAGTACAAGCATCAATGTAAACGATTTTTGAAAAGTCTTGGACATATCTAAAAGTATCATGCTAAGAATCGTATAGAGACAAACCTTGATTTTCTCTGTCTTCGCTATTTTTTTTACCGTTTACGTTTCATTCTTGATCGACATGTCAGCAATTATGATTACTGAACTACATTTATACTTCTCGTTCGCTTCATTTTTGGTTCTCATTGTTAAATACCTTATGATATGGTGACTTGTTGCTTAGTTTTGCCTAACTTTATCGTTAAGACCATAAACGTAGAGGGCATAATACAGCAGGTAAATGTTTTTTGTTAGAGTTCCCTCCACTTTCAGTCTCTATTCGAGTTAGACATTTGCTGACCGTTCCGTTTCCCTGAAGGATTTTTTCATTCGCACCAATATACGTCTCTACGCAGGTTCTGCATCCACGCAAAATCCCAGACCAGTTACTTTCTACGTCTAGTCTCTAATTTCTCTTCTAATACTCACAAGCACTTCGGTTACAGTTTCTATCTCATGATCGTCTAGTACCACGATTGTTAGTCCGATTATTTATCGAACTAAACCTTCTAAATAGAAGACCCCCAAGTCTTCTATTATGTTTTAGTATACTATGTTTCTCAAGAAGTCTATTATTAGTAGTGATTCTCTAATATAATTTCCGGTCCATAAAGGATCTAATACCTTCATGACGTTTTATTTAGTTCATTACGTTTATTTTTTAAATACAAAATAAAAATATTAAAAAAATGAAGACAAAATATGAACTACAAATAAATTTCACTTTTTCATAAACTGATCTAAACTGAACTGTTCCATTGCTGAATTGCTGATGATATTTATCGAAAATGGTTTCCTATTTTTTTCGATCATCTTTTTCTTTTCATTATAAACTACTTTTCTTTCATTATCATCATGATTAATTGTTGAAGAAGTTACTGTTGATGGATCAAGAATAAATTCAGAAAAGTTTGAATGTGAACAGGAGATTCATGGCCCCATGCATAACCAATATTGAGAAAAGCACGTTTAAAATCGACGCTGTTTTGCGTGCGAATCCATGCAGTGCAAATTAAACGAATGCATAAAACTCTTTTTTTGTTTGGCTGATCATTTTATTCTACCTCATGAACCATAGAAATTAATCTATTCTTCAGCAGTAGCTTGATAATGTTTTTTACAAACATAAAAAAACTAATATATCAAGAAGTTCTAGATACTGTTTGCACCAATTTGGAATAATAGATATTATTACATTTTTTCGTAACATTTCAATTATTTCTACAGTAGTTTTAAATGAGAATTAGCTGAATCAGCAATGCAGAATTTGAGATGACCATGATGTACCCAAAAACATAAATAACAACCATAACTCATATGATAAGTAATGGCGTTTATGAAAGTTTTCCGATGTCCTTGAAATCGGTAAGAAATTGGCGATTAATCTCGATTTATCGAAATGATAATCGTGCGCTAAATCACGATAAAATCGCCGATTTTTCTCGATTATTTCGTCGATTTTTGGGATAAATCGTGACTTTATAGTCTGTTTTAACCCTCTATTCACTGATATTCTATACGATTTGAAACATATGCATACTTAGTTTTTCTTCTCATATTCGAAACTTTTTATTACTTATGTAATTTCACAAATATTTCGATTTACTATGAAAACGCCGAAAAAAAAATGTCGAAAATTTGAAGATGTCATCATAGAGCAATATTGATTTTATTTTTTCATGTCACCACTAAAGCTCTATTGATTAGATAGCAATTTTATCCAATAAATTCTTGCATGAATGAACATTCTAGAACGGCGAAAAAACAGAAGAACATAGAGCACAATCGTGGCATTGTTTTCGATCTAATATATTTGCTTGATTTTAGATATAGAAACACATTTTCACACTTTTATTCCTTGGTTATACAGTTGAATCATGTTCACCACTACTACCACCATATCCTTGATTGTTTCCAATAAAGGTCATCATCTATTGGTAAAAGATAATTTTGTGTACACAGTCAATAAGCGAACGTCTTCAAAAACATATTGGACATGCACAACAAACAATTGTCATGCACATATTCAAACAAATCTCAATAATAATTTATTGAGTTCAAGTAGTGAACATAATCATCTTTTAGAACAAGAAGATCTTCAAGTAAAAAAATTTCGACAAGTTGTCAAGGATCGCGTCATGAAAGAAACAGCACCAGTATCAAAAATATATGATGAAGAAATTTCAAAAGCACAATTTTCACCAGAAGTGCTTGCTAGTGTACCACTTATTCATGAAATAGGTAAAGTTATATTTTCAGGAGCTTGAAACATCTCTTAATATATTTTTTCTAGAATCTGGTTTGAATTACGCACGACGAAAATTAACACCAATTCTTCCAACATCTGCTGTATTCGATATTCCCGATTCATATCAAACTACAGCTAGTGGTGAAAAATTCTTATCTTGTGATACATTTATTTGTCGTAAAAAAATGCATGTTGCTCTTTGGTAGTCCAAAACAACTTGAACTATTATTTGATAGCTCGATCGTCCTGATGGACGGAACTTTTTCACCAACACCGCCATACTTTGATCAAGTATTTACACTTCACTGCTTGAAATTCGACTGCAGTACGTATCCGTATTCTATTTAGTTCATAATCATACGATTTTTTTTAATCATAGACTTTCCTTGTATTTTTGGTTTATTACCTGATAGAAAAAAATCAACTTACCAATGTTTATTTCGAGAACTGAAAAGTGTTGCTGCAACAATGAATCGTGTCTTCAAACCCGAGCAGATAATTACTGATTTCGAGAGTAGTTTGATGCCAGCAATATCTGTTGAAGTAAACTCTATCAGTTTCGCTTATATAAATGCATCTGTTTTTCTTTTAGTTTTCTGAAATAGTTCATAGTGATTGTTATTTTCATTATAATCAATCGATTTATCGGCGCATTCAAAGTTTGGACTTAGCTACAGCTTATTCAAGTGATGATGAAATAAGAAGCTGTTGTAGAAAATTAATGTCATTAGCAATGATGCCGCTTCAAGAAGTCGAAACTTCGTTTTACAATTTACGTGAAGCAACAAATTCAAGAGTAAAACAAGAACTTCGTCAATTATTTTTATATTTTGATCAATACTGGATGACTGAAGTACCATTGGAAATGTAGAACGTACATGGTTATCACTATCGAACAAATAACAGTTGTGAAGGTATGTCTGTTCTTTCAATTTCAATGTTAAATTACGATCTATATACTTAGGATTTCATAGCAGATTTAATCGATGTATTCAACAAACATACGCAAATATTTGGTCATTTATACCATGTCTTGTTGGTGAAGAACGTCGATTTCAACATACATATATTCGAATAACTACAAGTGCTCAACGACGACCTAAATCAAATGCAGCAGATGGTATTCCAAAATGGATTAATGTCCTAAATAAACAGTACAACCAGCAGAAAACTGATGCTGAACAATTATTAGAAAGTTTGCCGATGTTGGTTGGAAAAAAAAAATTCATTAATTTATCACTTTTTATAGTCAATTTTCGTTAGTAATCCATTTGTATTTTTCTTTGTTAATTAAAATAAAATTTTCACTTCTCTGATGTAGCATCTAAACAAATATTCTTTCGATATTTCTTTGCATCGGTATTTTTTGTATCGATATTTTTCACATAGATATTTTTTTTTCGGTATTTGTTTTTCGACATTTATTTTTCGACATATTTTTCATCGATATTGATTTTTCGACATTTATTTTTCGATGTTTTTTTTGTCGACATTTTTCCTTTCGGTCTTTTTAAAGCATACCAATATTTCTATTCAAAAATTAAACGCTAACAATATTTTGTATAGACGTATTATGTAATAAAAACAAAAGTTACAACGCCTTATGAAATTTTTGTATAATTAGATGAAACCATGTTTTAAAAAAATATATATTGAAACATTCATAGGTGGTAACTGTCGTTTATATTGAATTCTTCTTAAGAGAGATTCTATACATAGTTTTTTCGTTCATTACAAATTAAAAGTCTAGGAAAAAGAATACAAATGAAAGTTCTAAACAGCAATTATACAGCTACATACGATGGTGATAATATAAGTCATTGTTACATCATAGAAAGTCAGGTTTTTTCGGTTTATATATTCTAGATATATTGAGTTATATAAAACTAGATATTTATGAACAAATTCTAAAGAAAAAAAGATTTAGCTAAAACATATCTAAAATAAATGGTCTATTATCGAAAGGTACTTTTAATATAAATAAGAGAATAATAGACACCGTTTTTATCATCTTATTATTTAATATAACAAGAGACGTTTCGTTATGAACTCATAACATCATCAGTCAAGAAATGAAATGAAAGAACAGGATAAGAAAGAATATATAGAAAATAATATAAAGAAAAGAACAAAGAACAAA